TTAATGGTTCCCATTTGTGGTTGGTTGACTCCGTGGATTCAGAGCCTATATTAGGCACAGAAGGCTAATCATAATTGGGAATGGAATAGACAAGAAACAAGGGGAGAATTCTCAGCAATCTTAGAACCTTGGAGAGTATAGTAAGCTGAAAGTCCATGGATGTTCTAACCGGTAAGATGGAAGCAGTCAGAGAGGTCAGCAGGAGCCAGGTCACATTAAGGAAATGGTCCCTAAGCTGATAGCAAGAGAAAGCCTTCAAGGGCTATAGGGGATGACTCCAAGTTCGCTGTAACCTCAGAGTAGAGATAGGATTGAATAGGCCAGAGTACATGCTGGCAGGCTGGGTAGGAGTTACTTGCAGCAATGACAGTGTGCAAGAGATGGGGGTAGCAATACATAGTCTCCTGAGTATTGCACAGGCCACATACAATAAGTGTGCTTATCTGCAGAAGGCTATGCAGGTGTATACCAGGGAGGGTCCACAAAGAGGTGCCAGTAACAGAATTCACCTCTCTTGCACAACATACACCCCCACCATGTGCACATCCTCTTCTGGAGTATACTTAAAGCCATCCTATGTGCAGGGTTAGTGTGATACCAATAGTTTCAGTCTGGGTCTTCAAAACAAGCCTTATCCTAGGGCTTGGCCTATAGCCCAAGATCACCCAGCTCAAAATGGCCCCAACAGATGTGCCCTGCATTCCCTCTCCATTTTATTAAACTGCTTAGCAACAGTGCAGGCTATGTGTCAAGTGGCACTTGTCATTTCAAACCGGGTTCATGTATAGCGCCTTGATAACATTTTCCATTTTCACAGTTTTTCAAAGTTTGATTTTTTTTTTTGAGCTGTCAGTAGCACTTGTCATTACTGTTGTCTGTCATTATAAAATATAATTCTGACCTTTAGCACAGAGCAGAAAAGTGTGAATATTCTAGGTAGCATCCAACCTTTAGTTTCTTTGTGGCTATTTTAGAATTTGCAGGGTAGCAAGATGCCTGGGGAAGCGTGAGCTGTTTCCAGAATTAACTTCCCCCTGACCTAAATAAATAGTCTGTGACATGAAAATTCACACAGAAGCTGACAGCACATTTTACCATTTCAGGGCCCACCAGCTAGACTACCCACATCTTAGAAGCATGCCATTCTCTACCTTGAAATGCTTGATCTGTGTAAAATGTACAAAAGTACCTCTTGAAAGATGAATTTTTCATGTCATAAACAATGCCTGTGTCAAAATACAGTAGTCTCATTCTCCTTCCCGGATGAAAGGGCTGTCAGATACAACTCATATCTGACATATACCTCAACTCTATATAGACCTAAATCCCTCCCCGTCACTCACTTGCCGTGGCCTGGGAAAGTGGCTTATGCTGCCTGTTATTCTCCCACAAAAACCTGGAGTGCAAGATTGCTTATGATTTTATATATAAAACTCAGCATCATTCGCCTGCAGCAAGCCAACATTAAACAGCAGCCAACATTAAAACTAGATTTTTCCTATCTAAAATCTTGGTGTGCCAGAGCACTCATTTTTAGTCTGTATTTTCCAAGGAGCTGCAGTATTTCAAGGTCTAGGAAGTATAGCTACATAAAACATTATTTGTGTTCAGGAGTACAACTTGATTTAATGCAGAGGTCACAACTGGGTGTCAAGAATCAGACCCATTCTACAGGTGTGTTTCCATTAGCCTACACATGATGCACTTTATTATTTTGTTTTTAATTTTTTTTAAGGATTTTATATTTTTATTTTATGTGTAAGAGTGTATTGCCTGCCAGTATGTGAGTGCATCTGTGTCATGCAATGCCATGGAGGTCAGAAGAGGGTGTCGGATTCCCCTGGAACTGGAGTTAAGGACAGTCCGTAGCCGCCATTTGGGTGCTGGGAATCGAACCCAGGTCCTCTGCAAGAGCAGTCAGTGCTCTTAACCACTGAGCTATCTCTTCAGCCCCCACCCCGACATGATGCACTTTAAATACATGCAAGCAAAATACTCATACACATAAAAATATAAATAAAAAATTTTAAATAAAGAAAATCCCAGTTTCCAATTTTTATTTGAAAATAGAGAAGCAGTCCAAGCTGTCCTTCCACTGTGCACTAGCAGTGTGTCTAGCCCTGCTCTCACCATTCTCTTCCCCCTCAGCCCACTTGTTTACCCTCTCACTTGAAGGTGCCCATGTCTGCAATAAGGATGCAAAGCCTTCTGTATTGGACTCTGTATTGATTCTGAGATCTGAAAAGCAGTGTGAGCCACAATGCTTCTCAGAGATGGTATTGAGCCATACCAAAGCAGAAGTCGGTTTTTAGAGAGCATCTAACCTATGCAGTCCTCCTGTACCTGGGTACTCCTGTGCTAAGATGGGTACCATCAGGGTTCAAAGCCCATCATCACTTTCCTGCCCATAATCCTACAGTTACTAGATGCATCTCAGGAAATGGGAACATAGAGAGATCTTCATAACTAAATCTAATCAATTTAATTTAGACTGTGACCTACCTAAATATTTAGTGTTAAATAACTTTTTCTATATGACATTTTGATAATAGCATATGATAGCCTCATTTTCTAGCATATAAAATGGCAGGTTCAGGGCTGGAGAGATGGCTCAAGGGTTAAGAACACTGATTGTTCTTGCAGAAGACCCTGGTTCATATCCCAGCACCCACATGGCAGCTAACAACTGTCCGTAACTCCAGTTCCAAGGGATCCGACAGCCTCTTCTGTCCTCCATAGGCATTGCACAACATGGGTGCACTTTCTTACCTGCAGGCATAACACTCGTACACATAAAATAAAAATAATAAATAAAATATTT